TTTGTGACAACTTATTTTTTGTCTGTTTGTGGTCTACGCCCATTCCTCTCTCAGGTGTATACAGTTTTTACTTCTCTGTCATTTGACACTCTTTTAATATGCCCTAACCATTTTAGTGTGTTAGCTCTCATAATGCCAGTGATCAATAGTGATTTAAACAGATAATGTGTTATGTTGTTGCTTCTGACTCTCCATTCCCTGCTGTTAGCATCTTTGATGGGTCCAAAGATTTGTCGTAGAACTGCTTTCAAAAACCTGTAATAAGGCCTCATCTCTTTTATTTCTGCTTCAAGTTTCAGAGCCAAATAAAACGACTGGTCTTGTCAATGTTTTATATATTTTGATCTTGGTGTTGCGAGACAGACACTTTGACTTTCGCAGATGTTGAAGGGCATAGTACACTTTATTTCTAGATTGTATTTCTTCTCTCAGCATGTTGGAACAGTTGAGGTTTGCACCCAAGTACTTATATGTTTCCGTTCGTTTGATTTTCATATTATCGACTTGTATGTGGCTGAAGTTTATATTCTTTCCACGTCTAGTTAGTATTCGTACAGAATAGTAAACATTTAAAAACATTTTATGTTCTACATCCTTCAGTCAGTCTGTGGTAACTAATAACTAGGACTGAAAGAATCCAAAGTATTATAACAAGTAACTAAACTTGGAAATTGTCACTGACAGCTTAGTTAATGCAGGAAAGCTGCATTAGCTTTCAACAAAACCAATCGTTCAATGTCAGCATTAATCTGTGTATGCAGAAGCGGGTGTAAGGTAACTACTATTTGTATTCGGCCGGACCACAACTATTCGGCCATATACTGAATAGTCAATATGTCCACTATTCGGCCCTGAAGCGAATACGAAGCGAATATTCGGTACAGCCCTAATGCAAACCCTAGTACCTGAGGTTATAAAATTGTTAATCACATTTACTAACCTCTAAGCAATGCAGCCACACACAAACAATATTAACTGGTTCGAGTACATGTTTATAGTTTGATTTCTAGCCAAGTATATGTTCATAAAGCTTGTTTACATAGTTTGATTTCTAGCAAATTAAATGATCATAATGCTGTCTTCAGACTAAGTAAAATATATGGTGCCTTTCTCTGGGCATTGAAGTCTTTTGTCAAAGAAATATCTATAATCTGCGAAGGACACTTAACCAAACTAATCCAAACCCCAGACAATTATGGCACAGCGACTTTCTAACAGCTACCAAGAGACAAGTTCTAAAGTTACAGAAGGCACAAAACTACAGCATGGGAGCTACTGGAAATGCAGATAAAACTTTTTTTCACAAATGTTGTACATGTCAAATGTAGGTCTAATGTCTCAACAATAAATACCCTAGTTTCCAACAATTTTCAGTTAAAATACTGTGGCCTATACATGCGTAAATACTGTACTTTGAAATGTCTGACTAACAATAAGCATGTTAAAAATTCTAAACTTTGCAGATATCTGCAATGGTGGGGAACATAAATAAATAAATTACACTGGAGGTAAATAAAAAGTTAATTGGTTTTCAAATGTACAAAATTATGAACTATTTAAAGTTCACTGTTAGCATAATCAAGAAAAAATACTCTTTCTAAACGCATTAGATAACTGCAATAGTGTTAGCAGCTAGACACTCACCTAAAGGTCCCAGGTTCAAATCCGCACTAAGCCTGATTTTTCCCTCCACAATGACTATGACACACAGACCAACCCAGCCTAAAATGGGTAATATGTAATGCCTTGGGAAGTAAAAGTGGCCGAACTGATGTTATCACCCCACGAGCGCCGAATGGTCTAAGAAATATATCGAGCACTATACACCTTATACGTTTAAGAATGTGAAAAAGAATCCTTTACCTTGTTACTTTTAACATATGAACTTTTAATTTTAAAACACTGATAACAAACAAACAAAAGAAACCCAAATAAAAAAAATTTAAAAAATCACACATTTCTAAAGAAAATAATCAACCCACCATTTATTGCAAACCCTCAACAGAAATAGATACAAGGAAAATGAAGACAAATGAACCAGAAACTGAACCACAATACAAACAGTGATTTCAGAGATGGAAATTATAAGTAGCAACTTTTACAACAACAAAAAACAGCCATAAAAACCTTTTTCTCTTCTTTATTAATATGACTAGAGCATTTATGGATAGTCTTTGCTAATACAATCAATCTATACTGCCAATATTATGATTGTTTGCTAATGTAAAGATAACAGCCATTTTGTTGAAATTCCTCCCTGAGTGGGTTCCAGGGCCCTATTTATGGGGACAAGAATAAACCCAGTGACCACCCCCACTCCACAAGCATTATGTCAAAGTCAGTCAAGCAGGGGTTTTTCATAACCTTCTAAGGATACATCTGCCTGAGGTGGGGAACCAATAGTCTGCAAATAAATTAGCCACATCTGTAAAATGCATGTGCGAAAGTCCAGAAGTGGACAAACAACCAGAACATTTTGCAGGAGGAGTTGACAGCTGGTAAAAGCTCAGAGTTGAAATTCCTAGTTAAGAAATAGGATGGTTATTGCCAGAAAAGGCTCAGTAAGAAACACAATCCCATATGCAAGTTATAAACTAATTAAATTAGCCATCTTCCCTCTGGGGCGCCTCCAACTTTGGTGTGGCAGAAAGAGACCCGAGTTCCACTGAGCTCAGGAGCTATGCCAATGGTAAAGTCTCCCTTGTCTCGTAGTAGACTGGCCGGGGAGGGGGGTTGCAGGAGTGCAGAACCACATATTGCAATGCAGTAGGGCCAGGTTTCATACTGGACAAGAGCTACTGATAACTCTTCGCAGTTCATTCCAGAAACGGGTTCCCTTGTAACCAGGGCCGTGCCCAGCATGGATAGGCTCGAGGTTACTTTTCAAGTCTGACTACATATGCCTGAGAGGTTAAGAACCATGATTGCGGCAGAATCAACAACACTCAAAAGTAACCTCCTGTGTTGCCAGGGCAAGCACAAGTTGACTATCATTTCTTTCTATTTACACAAATCTGGATGGAACTGATTAATTGTGGTCACCTCAAGATATTTTAGCACTCCACCATTGGTAGAGATACTGCTGCTTTACAAGCTGATTGCTAGTTATGGACAAGAAAGCCATTACTTCCCATTATAAGTCAGAACTAAAAGAAAGTCTTGCATTTTTTTCTGATGTGTCTAGTGCAGTGCATTCAACTGCAAGCCTGATAACCTAGGGTTCAAATCACTCTCATCTACAGTGTGGTTTTTACTTTCCCTGCCTCACCTTGCCCAACAAAATGGTTCTGGGAGAGTAGTCATTGCAATACTGCCTTTACTCCCAGAGTCCGGTAGTCATGGAAACCATGTGGCTAGCAGAACACCCCACACCTGTCACAAGGGCCTGGAAAACCTCTATCCATCTTTACAATTAATCATCATTTTTGATCAGCAGGTTCTTTACAGAACATCCATCGTCACAGCACACCCGACAAGTTTCTTCTTCTCTAGCCAATTCTTCAATTCCCCTAAGTGCTTTCACAGCCAACCCATTTTCAATGTCATGTATCCATGTTTGTGGAAGTCTGCCACTGCCTTGTTTTCCTGAAACTTTCCCCCCCCCCCTTCCTTTCCAGGCCACTGAGATATTTAGCATGGCCATAATACCTCAGCTTGCATGATACCATGCTGTTTATAAGCCAATTCTTTGCGATGCTCAAGATAATGTAAGATGTCGGTGAATTCATACATCATAAGACATGTGATAACTCTTAAGAAACTGTTCAGAAATTATTTTGCCATATTTACCAAACTAAATGAGAAATGGATAGCATGATGTCACTAACTACTGTTTGTCAACATTCACACAAATCAAAGAATGCATTCTAAAACTAACAGTTGTTCAATGCCTCAATACAGTTCAAACACTGACCAATTGTTGTTTAAAATGCCCAACTATAAAACAACAATGAATTACAAACACATTTAGGTGCAGACTACGCTGAGAACAAAACATGTGAAGTGGACAACAGTGAACCAACAGGTCATGCCATTCACCGGAATTTCACATTTTCTCGGTGTGCACGTGAACAAGGGTGCAAGTATGAAAATGTTCAAGATACGATTTCAAATTCTATGCCCAAAAACATGCTCATAATATTCTAATACACAGCAATTGTGATAAAATACCTATGTATGTTCATTCTGCAAACAATGTGGATTTAAACAATTACCATAGATTATTCAACACTCATACATTCTGTGTCCTTTAAACAAAGTTGACACCACCACATTAAAATGCAATTCACAGAAGTGGTCAACTAGCTAAGTGAACGCAAATGACAGCAACTCCCTGCAAAAGATCATTTGTCTGCACAATTTCCCAAATAGCAAAGCCTTCAACTTACTTTAAATGCCAGCTGAAACTGTTGGGTTTTCCATATGGACTATGCATCCACAAAACTGTTTTCAATATTACTGTTATCATCATATGCCAAACCGATAAGCATATGTGGTTATGATTTGCCATCCCATTAAATGACATCATACTTGTGGATCAATACTATTTAACCTGTAGTAAAATGTGTGCAGAATCACGAAGAGCGGTGAACAAACAGTCCAACACCTGCCACCACTGCATACATCACTGACTCATTTTCCAAGTGACATGTATTAGCCCCGCTGTAAAAAAAAAAAAAAAAAAAGGAACCATTTCGCAGACAACTAATCACTAGACCAGCCTGCCTTAAATGACATCCCTGCTATTCTTGAGTTCTGCAGGTGATAGTAATAACAAAGGTGCCAAAATATACATATCCGTGGGGAAAAAAATCCTTCTCTACTCACTAGAACATTCATTTCTAGATCATTCAACCTACAAATTACCAACTGCTCTGATGTTCTGTTAGCTGAACATGTATTTTTTCACGAGAGCCCCTGGAGATGTAAACATTACCTCCGGATAATTTTGGGGTAAAAAGATTGAAAACGGCTGCGCTAGACTAAGGGCTGAACACAAATTAATCTTTCTTGGTGCGTGAGGGAGATGCCACATGGCCATTAGCTTCCGCCAGCTCTCCATTGGCTCGCTGCAGTTTTCCATTCAAGGCACTACCATTTTCTGCAGCAGGGGTTTCAAGTGATGAGATGGCAGGATCTTTGTTGGAGCGTCTGATGTAGGCTTGCACATAAAAATTGCCAAACAGGATCAGCATTCCTACCATGTAGCCAGCTAGAAGGTTCTGGCCCCAGCGTGGGAAGTCACACCCCACACGGATGGAATTGACAGTATGTGTGAAGGTGATGCAGAACTGAAGCTGGGGAAACAATGTTAAAACAACATCAACAGCATGTTACAGCTGTTATATGTTCAAGCAGTATACACAATGTCCCATCAGGTTCCATACATAGGAAAAATTAACAGACAGACAGACAATATATTGAATTGTATTACATCTTTCAGGGCTTTATTCATATCCTACCCCAAACAGGGGAAATCCACAGGTCACAAGACATACTAATATTTCAGGGGATGGTAGATAGGCTGCATGCAGTCATGGGACCTAGGCTGCACTCTCTTGTGGGACGTAGGTGGGTTGGGGTTAGGGCCAGTTTTAGATGTTTTTGGGGTTGTTAAAAGCATCAGAGAGCCTAAAAACCAATGTTGGACTGTCATGTGACATTTTCTGGGGTGTGATATTAAAAACCCATCTTGCTATTTTTCTACTTCTTTCTCATCACCATAAACCACTTCTGTCATTAAGCGCCGACGGGAGGAATAATTTTTCATCCAGTGCGCGTTGGATGCCCTTGAAATTGTCATGCGTGAACGCGTAGTGTCTTTAATGTTGTCAATCCTATTTTTTTTTTTGCGGCTGTCCTCTAGCTCTTGTAGCTGACCTTCTGTGATGAAGTGCTTGTGATGACATTTGATCTGAGTGCATTATAACAAGATGGCCAAACCATTTGATCCGCTGTTTCTCGATAAATCTAGTACAAGGTGTCGTTGCCGCAATCTGTCTGATAATATCATTATTCACTCGACCTCGGATGGTGAGGTTGGCGGCTTTTCTCTAGCATCTTATTTTGCAAGTAGTGACTTTGCATACATGGGCTTTAGTGCCCATGTTTGGCACTGTTAGTGTATTGTTGCATTGAATATGCTGTTTGTAATCTGTACTTCTTTCTATGAGTGATTATCAATACATTGTCTTTCTATTCTGTATAATGTTTCTATGGCTCAAAGATTCCCACTGTTTTAGGAACAATAAACATATCACCAGCAGTATTCGTCAGCATTGGACGACACATCAAAATGTGTTTTTAAAACAATAGAAAATTTTCTATGAAAACTGATGGAAGACCCAGTACACATCCCAGTCATCACAAAGAATCAGCAAGATACTATAGCTCCTCCATGATCAGCTACAGCAACCTGTACCTTGAACAGGATGGCATAGGGCTCCTGCCCGAGTCTGTGATTGAGAAGCTGCAGACACACTTCCTAATATCCAGATAGCCTGTGATTTAGCAGCAGACCGATTTGCACTGACTATGACAACTGTATCAAGAGCTGACTGTTCAGAAAGCAAACTACTGAACATAAGATTGCCTAGTACCCAGTGTATGTTCTGGAGCTCTATTGTGGCAAAAACAAGAATACGCCCACTGGGTCTCCAACAAGCATGTCGCAAAATTCAACTAATTTGGGGCTTCTTTCAAAGTGCATATGTCTTAGAGGCAAAGAACTAGCATACAGATAAGATCTGCAAACAGGATATGCACATATTTCTTAGGTTCCCGAAAAACCCTTAGGCGGACAAAATACCATAACTTTTTGCCAGAAAGACTACCTAGTAAAACCAAAAAGCCACGACGACCAGGTGACAAACTCCTTGTGGTCCGGGTTCACGCAGAAAAGCCACATTTCTCCCAGATTTAAGGTATCTATCGTGGGATCAAGGGCGAAGCGTTATGATTTCCACAGTACCGAGACAAAGGGTTAACAACTCATGGTTTCTGGATATTTTTAAAAAAAGCAAATCATTCTTGATCTGTCGCAGTGACAAATTATGCTACCTTGACTAATATCCAAAGAAATACAATTCTTCCGTCTCTGTTGACTGCAATATTTCTCGCCATGAGGCTGGTACCAATCCAATTAACAGAAAACAATTTGCAATTTTTAGTTTCTTAAAAATCTCCCTAGAAGGGATAAAATACAGAAAATTAATATGTTGGCTCTTACCAGCTGGAATCGAGTGATGTATCGTTTCCACCATAATTTCCTCCTTAGTGATGGGACGGCAGAAAGACCATAATATAAATACATAACTACATGGACAAGACAATTCATGCAGCTCCCAAACCAGGCTGAAACAACATAACAACAATTATCAGTCATGATAATGAATTGCAACTGTCTGAAAGAAACATAATCATACTGCTAGCTGAGAAACTTTAGGTGTCTGAGGCCTTATTTTCTCGGGTCCCAGTGTTAGCAAATTACTGCCAGCAAGTCAGGTCAAAACCATTAAAAAAAAATTGTCCTGCAGAAAATGCAGATCTTTAATGACATCCAGATAGATACCCAGTAGATCTTTAATGACATCCAGATACCCAGTAGATCTTTAATGACATCCAGATACCAGTAGATCTCTAATGACATCCAGATATCCAGTAGATCTTTAATGACATCCAGAAACCAAGTAGATCTCTAATGACATCCAGATACCCAGTAGATCTTTAATGACATCCAGATACCCAGTAGATCTTTAATGACATCCAGATACCCAGTAGATGTTTAATGACATCCAGATACCCAGTAGATCTTTAATGACATCCAGATCCATAGATCTTTAATGACATCCAGATCCATAGATCTTTAATGACATCCAGATACCCAGTAGATCTTTAATGACATCCAAATACCAGATCTTTAATGATATCCAGATACCTAGATATTTAATTACATCCACATACCAGATCTTTAATGACATCCAGATACCTAGTAGATCTTTAACCACATCCACATAACAGATCTTTAATGACATCCAAATACCTAGATTTTCAATTGCATCCACATACCTAGGTATTTAATGGCATCCAGACCGCGACCTTTAATTGCATCTAGATATGCAGTAGATCTTGAATAATATCCTGATACCCATTAGATTTTAATGACATCTACATATACAGTAGATCTTTACTGACATAGACACATAGTAGATCTTTAATGACATCCATATACGCAGTAGATCTTTTATGGCATCCAGATGCCCAGTAGATCTTTAATGACATCCATATACCAAGTAGATCTTTAATGGCATCCAGATACCCAAACTTTTAATAACATCTAGATACCCAGATCCCTGGTAACATCCAGATATCTTTAATAAGAACTTTATAGCTTGCTTAAAGTCAAACCAAAACCTTACAGACATTCCTGTTAGAGGACTCCCAATCCACATCAATTCCTCTGGGAACTTTCAAATGCTTCCACACTAGTTACAAATAACGCCTGCCATTCAGAACATCCAAAGTTGCTTCTTTAATGGTGTGTTCCAAATAAGGGGTAAATATCACCAGCAAGGGAAAGCACAACATATATGACTGAAACCAGCAGGAGACAGATGACTTCCCTTAAAAACCTTACTGACATTTATAAAGAAAAGGCTTCCAAACTAGCCTCAGTCCAACAGTTAAAAAAGCGGATATTTCTGACTGCTCTGATGACTACTCATTTTACTTTAGAACCAAGTCTAGCACCACTTTCCAGATACACCACTGGCTTAAAAATGGTCCTCTACTTGGTGGACAACTGTAAATAAGCTCTCTATAATATCTTGACAGAGCTGGAATATTGAGAGAGTCAGAAGAAGGACAGAGAAGGAAAAAAACAGATACTTACACATCCCTCCTGGTATAAACATCATTGTCCACCACCAGATGTTCAGCATGCTAGCATGATGGAATACATGAAGAAATGTGACTTGTTCAAACTTCTTTCTTGCAATCATGCACACTGTGTCTAGAAGTTCAATGGCCTTGGAAAAAAAATACCACCAAAGCACCTTTGCTACCTGAAATTGAATAGTATGTTTTGATTAAACATTGTAAAAGCACCCTGGCTAGCTCAAAATTAACAGCTGATTAACTATTAGGGTCTTCTAGTTAGTGGTAAGTTTCATTTCAACATCTGACTTTGAATTACTAATGCCTCTCTTGTCCACTCTACCTCTTCTTTTCGTTCGTCAGAGTAACATAACTGTGTTGTGCCTGTCTACAGCAATACTGTGATATTTGTGGTTTTCATCTGACACATTTGACTTCACTGAGCATATGTTTACCTATTAAGTTTCCCGGATGGTTTCACAGTCTTTTCTTTTGTGTGTGTAGTATTCTCTTTGTCCTCCCATCACTAATGCAATTTTTGTTTCATTTACTGAAGAAATATGATAGTCTACCATTGCCTCTTTGGCAGTAGATCAAAGTCTTCTGACTTGTGGAGCCCTTTACAGAATCTGTCTATGATCCTCAGGCTTGCTGTACCCTAAATCTCATAAGGCAATGGTATTCAGAATTAATGTTATGGAATGGAGAAAGAAAGGATAAATATGAGAGAGAAAGTAAAGAGATATCTCAAAACTGTATAATGTCCATGCAATGTAATTATATCTTAAAAGCTTAAATTTACCACAAGTCAATTAATTTTCAACTACCACCAATACACATGATATTGTAAAAACTTGACCATACATAACAGATCCCCCAAAGTTCAGTATATCAGTATAAATTTCTTTTTAAAAAGGTTTTACCCCTGTTGGTGAGAACGAACAAACAAACATTTTTCAAAGGGTCTTAAATTGGGCACGCATGAGACACATGTGGTTGCATTTTTTGCAGTCTTTTTATTTCAGATTCAAATGATAATTGCACATGTTTTTACCTTATTCACGCTTCTTGCTATCTCAATTCATCTCGAACGTGAAATATGAAAAATCTTATAAACTATTTATATTAAGTCGAGGAAATATTATTCTAAGCTTTTACACTACATTCCCTCTCCACCGATCCATTTTTTTTTTTACATCTAGTGAGACATTTTGATTGTTCACCTTTATCTCCCCTTTCAAAAAATGAATCTGGATAGGTCATAGTGTGCGTGGCAGAGAGACACACAGGTAGGAGCTAGAAGGAGCTGCAAGAGACAGTAAAAGATAAGGTACGTCTGGGTGACTTGGCCAAAGGCCTCTCAGTGGTGGTTCCAGGGCTTCATTTTGGGGGAACAAAGAATACACCCACTACCGATCTAACAAGCAGCTTGTAAAAGGTGACCAACATCCTTCAAAGTCAGAGTGCATCTCTTCTGAGAGGCAAGGAACCAAGTCTGAAAAAGCCAGATCTGTAAAATGAATGTATTTACAAATCTCAAGTTCTGGAGAGAAAAAAAAAGTAGTGGACAAGCAATCAGATCATTTCACCAGAGTTTACAGCTATTGAATGTAAGGAAGATGAAAAAGACCTATTCTTCATTAGAGGATTCAAAAACACTGTTTCCTTTTACATTATTACTTTGGCTGGTATTTATTCTCTTTTGCAACATTCTTCTTGGATACTTATGTATCAAAGTGTTCTAATATCACTCCATTTACTGTGATGTTCACAGCTGATTGCTCTTATGCACTGTTAATTACCAGTTTTTGGGTTTCGAATATTAATGTCTAAGCCATACTCTGCACTCCACCTGTTTAACTGATCCACTTGGTCCTATAACTTCAGCTCACTTTCTGCCAGTAACACTGTGCCATCAGAATATCTCAGACTGTTATATTCTTCCATTTATATTTTTCTACTAGGATACTTGTGTATCAAAGTCCTCTGCTTTTGCATTTCACTAGTAAACAAAAGTCTCTACTCTTGTATAATTTCACTGGGCATTGAAACTCTTCTATTCTGCTTGACACATCTCCACTTCTCTTGTTAACTTTCTATCAGAATACATTACCATGATTGTTTCGTACTATGCTTTCAACTGGCGAAAACATAAATGGGGTAACAGCGCAAAATGGCAAAAGCACCTACAATAAATAGACAGACAGAAAATAAAGTAAAAATGCACTCACCCTGAGTTCTTTAGGATCTGCTATGGAGTCTTTGTTGTACTTAGCGCAAACCAAATCATAGCCTGCATCCCATATACTCAGTAAAATCTGAATTGGAAGAGTGCAAAAATGGGCTGAAAAAAACATAGGAACAATACACATGGAGATATAGCTTTCTCAAATATTATTACTTATCTTCTTTTCTTTCATCTAAGTGCAGTAATTGTGTTGTGCATGTTTACAGCAAAGTTGTGATATTTGTGGCTTTCGGCCGACATTCAACTTCGTTAGGTATTTGTTTACCAGGCTGTCAGTATTTGTTTACCAGGCTGTCAGTATTTGTTTACCAGCTGTCAGTATTTGTTTACCAGCTGTCAATATTTGTTTACCACAGGATGAGAACTGCTTAAGTACAGTTTCTCAACTTTAGACCAAGTTCCGTTCCGGCTTACAGGCCATTAAGTTAAATTTATATTTTCAACTCTATTATCATCCAAACAGGCTATAAAGATTGTAAATAACACAAAAACTGTATGTACATTCAATGATTGTATATAATGTGAAAAATACATAACTGTACTCTACAGCATCAGATACCGGAACTGTCTGACCCTACCAATGTAGTTATCTTTCATTATTAACTTACTTGTCGCCTCTCTAGAGAGGGACAGTGTATTAAATTCAGACTAAGGACTGGGCACAACAGACTTCGTCAACATATGTTCAAGTTTTTTTGTGTAGGAAACATCGGAGACATGTCCCTGCAGAGTTGCACCCGAAAATGCTGAGCATGTGCTCCAACACGTCAACTGTATGCTGACAACAGAGAGGCAATCTGGCATGTTTTAACCACAATTAAGACTAAGTACATGAGAGGATATGGATTGCACGATAGCTTTTATAAAGGCTACAGGCCTCCTGATATAAGTTTTCTGACAGAAGGATCAGAGAAGAAGAAAAAAAAGGTGGTTGTAAGCACAAATGGTCATAAGTCGCAAGCCGAGCAGAAGGTGCATAACATATAATGCAAATGCTTCAACAGGCCAGATTTCCCTGGGGTTTAATCCAATTCTCATGCTTGTCTTAAAAAAGAAATAGTTTTCCCTCTGACATGACAGTTTTATTAATTACTGTACTAACTCACCAGCTCACAAGTCTGAAAATATTTCCAGAAGTGCCAGGATTTTCCCTGAACCAGTAGTTATCTGGTTGACTTACAAAACTGGCCCAAAATATGTTCACAATTTTCTAGAAGTTATCTGTGAAAAGTAGCTGGGAAGAGAACTCGCCACCACGCCTTATCATGCCCTGATGCAGTAATATGTAAACAATTTAAATGCCTACAGATTATTGGTCACCACATCTGCGGTTCTCTTTTCAGATATCTTATTCCTAGAGCTGCACTGATGTTGAGCACTGGATTCAGTTATAAAAAAAAATTTTGAATGTTGAATTAAGAATTGACATTACACCACTCGGGACACCCCGATAAGTGCTCCACCCACATCTTCAGCAGCGGGCGAAGAGTCGAAATTCGGATGGTACCAGTAACTGTCTGATTGTATATCCGTCTCGCCCTTCCACTGAGTGTCGAGCATCAGCCAGATCCCATTGTAACTTCGCGCAGTGCCATATTAGGTGTTACTTTAAAAAATGTAAATGAAGACAACATATAATTCACGAAATAAATTGTAAATTCCCCTATATTTTGTATTACATACAACTTTCTCGAGTTCAGGTGAAAATTTTTTGCCTCTCGTATTACTGTTCTGAATGTTTCCCTGGTTGTCCTCTTTTTCTCAGACTTTCCCATTTCAGTACCTGTTTTGTAATTCTTTGCTCATTTCATCTCAGAGTGCACCCAATATATCTCCACCTTTTTTATCTTATTGTAGTCAATACAGGTATTTGTATAACTAACTATACATTATAAATTTTTATCAAAATGGTTTCATAGTGACCTCAACAAACATGTAGATAGATAGGGCAACCAGGCCCAAGTTGTAGACAACCATAAACCCCTGGAGGGAGAAAGGTTTGCGGTTGCGCATGATGGTTGGTCCCAGAGCCACGAAGGTCAGATACAATATTGTGAGTGCCCATACTGGGTATGGAGAGTCCGAGACTAAGAACCAGTTGCGGGTACGTGGATCTGAAACACATAATGTATGTCAGTGAAACCTTGACTAAACAATAATATTACTGAGATTATAAGCTACTAGATCATTCTTTAAGTCAATACAAGTGCAAGCAAACTTGAGAAGAGGTTTAAAATGTATGTGTTAAAAAAATAATACTATAAAGTTTTAACAATGAATCAGTTTTTTTTTTAAATCTGGACCAACAAACGCATCTGTAGGTATTGAGACATAGTACAATGCAATTTATTGGGTGCAAACAGTGCTGGTGTCGACATAATTTATTAAATGAAGCTAATTAAAGAGTTCTAAAAGGCAGCTTCTGGGCAGATGAGGAAGAGGTGAGTCAAGCAGCACTTTCATTACTCCAAATATGGAACAGGCCTGTCCAAGGATTCTTTCCCATAAAGAAAAAAGTGCCAGAACTCAAAGTGCTCAGAACAGGTTCATCACCAAGTGTATATTACAGAAGTGCTAAAAAAAATAATTTTTTTTAAAAATACTAGACTGCTGCGTACCGCCAGCAGAAAAATTAAGCTCTGGACCTGTCCGCACAAATGCAATGGAATTTCGATGTTTTTTGGGTCGGCTGAGAATTATCAAGCTAAATAACCACCAATTCAACAACATAGGCTCAAGACAACAAAAACCTGTTCTTCTCATTCACCAACTGTGAACTTTGCTAGAAAGCCCTGCGCTGTGAACTTTGCTGGAAAGTCCTGCGCTGTGAACTTTGCTAGAAAGTCCTGCGCTGTGAACTTTGCTGGAAAGCCCTGCGCTGTGAACTTTGCTGGAGAGCCCTGCGCTGTGAACTTTGCTAGAAAGCCCTGCGCTGTGAACTTTGCTGGAAACCCTGCCCTGTGAACTTTGCTGGAGAGCCCTGCGCTGTGAACTTTGCTGGAGAGCCCTGCGCTGTGAACTTTGCTAGAAAGCCCTGCGCTGTGAAATTTGCTGGAGAGCCCTGCGCTGTGAACTTTGCTAGAAAGCCCTGCGCTGTGAACTTTGCTAGAAAGCCCTGCGCTGTGAACTTTGCTGGAAAGCCCTGCGCTGTGAACTTTGCTGGAAAGCCCTGCGCTGTGAACTTTGCTGGAAAGTCCTGCGCTGTGAACTTTGCTGGAAAGTCCGGCGCTGTGAACTTTGCTGGAAAGCCCTGCGCTGTGAACTTTGCTAGAAAGCCCTGCGCTGTGAACTTTGCTGGAGAGCCCTGCGCTGTGAACTTTGCTGGAGAGCCCTGCACTGTGAACTTTGCTAGAAAGCCCTGCGCTGTGAACTTTGCTAGAAAGCCCTGCGCTGTGAACTTTGCTAGAAAGCCCTGCGCTGTGAACTTTGCTAGAAAGCCCTGCGCTGTGAACTTTGCTAGAAAGCCCTGCGCTGTGAACTTTGCTAGAAAGCCCTGCGCTGTGAACTTTGCTGGAAAGCCCTGCGCTGTGAACTTTGCTAGAAAGCCCTGCGCTGTGAACTTTGCTAGAGAGCCCTGCGCTGTGAACTTTGCTAGAAAGTTCTATCGGTCTGTGTGTGGTTTGCACTGTGTTCTTGTTCCAGTACATGAGTTTTGAGTACACATCCATTTTCCAGATTTGTTTATTGTATGGAGACTAACATTTCCTCGCTTGTACCTGACTGAAAGATGAGCACTGACTCTAAAGAAATGTCAAGCATCTACACTGGCTAGGCACTAAGCAGGGAACCTCTAAGATGATCACAGAGCAGGGCTACTCTACCCTGCGGACAGAGTCAGGGCCGCAGAGGCCTAGTAAGTGGTCTGCGAATAATTGCCAATTGTACTGCATAACCCAAAAACACATGGAGAAGGGAGCTGGAGAGAAGCTAATATGATGGGGAGAGCTGCATGTGATAGCTAAGGATAGAACGGCTCGACGTGAGTTGGTTCAGGACATTTGCTCCATGGGGGGTTAGAAAGGTTGAAGAAACGACTAATGATCTTTCTATACAGGAGCTCGGGTCTCAGGCCCGTGAAAATCTTAATTTTCATTCTTTTGGTCCCTAGGTAAACTTAGTTGAATAGCCCTGCCATATAAGTATATCAATATGTGACCTGGTCCTGATGCACCACCGCAAGTAGTGATGTACCCCTGTATACATGCTCTCTCCCCCTCCCCCTAAAACATATCTGTATCTTTGCTTCACATCAGCTGAGATAATGGAACAAACAAAAAGACACGCCGGTGGATAAGAATCTCTCGTCTTACCTGCATGTGGGTGCGCTTCTTCATACTGTCGGATGAGATCCTTGACAAAGCTGGCCATTGCAGGTGAATCTGGAAACAGAATAGGAACATATTTAACTCATTTAGCTATCATATGTAAACAATATATTTGTGTGCAACATATATTTCTTTTTACCCTTTTTAACTAGGATGTGTCTTCAATTAAAGTTGCAGTTTGCTAAATCACCACGGTGTTTTGCAATGACTCTGTTCTTTGTGTCTTTGGCTCTAGTCACTGCAGACTCCGCTTTCACACCATGACGAGCAGAAAATGGACGACAACAAACATCGCTAGAGAGTGCCGTTCTTTTTATTCTTCCACTCGCTGTTATCTCAGCCGGTACATAAAAGACGTCATGTCTAGGCTGATGCAAACAATTATGGGGAAAAAAAGTCAATATTACCAGTACTCATCGAAACACAACCGCACATTCCAACAATCACAATGCAGCACGCAAACTTCCTCCATGTTGACGACACAAACCAATTTCAGCGGGCAGGCAAGAAACCATCCATCGTTGCTGTTTGGCCAGGTAGGACGTTTGAAGCTACATTCACCCTCAGTCACATTCTGGATCCGCAAACACTCCTTCGTTCTTCACGCACTCCGTTTCTTGGCATAAACGAGACTGCCCACATGCTCTTTCTAAGGCATTATATAACCTTCTAACGCCCACATTACAATGATTTGTTAGTGTTTTCTGATTCACATGGGTTTCATTTGGTCAACATTTTCTCCGTGATTCACAGGGGTTTCATCTGGCCAGCATTTTGTTCGTGACTCACGTCACTGTCCTAGTTACACTCAAATATATTCATTCATATTTATTAGCTGATGGCATTCCATCTGGGACATAATTTTTTGAGGAGAAAATGGGTTCAATACATGTTTTTAAAAATATATAACAGTTGTGAGGTGAATAGAAGTGACAGACAAACAAAATACTAGAAAAGTAGTCACAATCATATTAAGAACAACAGGAAAGTAGTCACAACCATAATAAGAACAACAGGAAAGTATTCTCACAACCCTAGTAGGAACAGTAGGAAAGTAATGTCACAACTATAATAAGAACAAAAGAGGAAAGTAGTCACAACCATAATAAGAACAACAGGAAAGTAGTCACAGCTATGATGCAGAAATCAGGGTAATCAAGATTAATTACAGATAAATCAATGAATACCAAACACTGTTGACAGCCTTCAGCACTAGTCTCATCAGTATGTCATGCACTCTAGTGTGTCCATTCGGGTCATTCCCCCATCCAGTCTGCTATACGAGTGTGTGATGAGATTACAAAATCTCAACTGTATGTCAGACCAAGAGGGCAAACCACAGAAACCCTCTTCAACCTCCAAAATAAGGAAATAATTGGGGCACCCACAACCGCCACACCAGAGTCCTGTGTGGGTAAGGTCTTATGCTGGAGTTTATGCACCCCAGTTGAGAAAACTGCAAGTATTACAGCCACAACTTCTTGCTACTAGACTAGTATTCACAAACTGTGGTTGAGATGAGTGTGCTCATAACTTTTACATAACCACACCCTCACAAATAATGTTATAAACAACACCTGACTGCAGCAAACGACATACTCTTCAAACATCTGCCGGTATTAAAACAAAAACAAAAAAACATAAAACAGCTGGGGAAGTTATTACCCTACTGATTGGAAATGTGGCTGAAGGCTAATACAGACAAATATATTGGCTGTTAGTTGTGCACACTTGACGAAATGCATGACCCATATGATTGGCAGCAATACATACGTTTTTTTCTTCTTCGATGAAGCAGAACCAGGGAGGCAAAGGAGACAATTAGGGAGAGAAAAAGAGAGAGAGAGAGAGAGATTAGAGGAAGAGAGAGAGAGAGAGAGAGAGAGAGAGAGAGAGAGAGAGAGAGAGAGAGAGAGCAGACAGGAAAAACTGATGAGGAAGAGAAAGGATGCACTTAAAAATAATCTTTGTTTTGAGTTTAAAACTTGCTTTTCAAAAAAGTGCAATTAAGAATGCAGGTCTCTCATGTCCATGGCGACAGTACTAGCCACACGAATAAATTCTTAGGTCGAAGACTCCCATCACAAAAGTGGTAAAAACATATAGTAATTGGCAGCACTGAGTGTGTAGCAGTGCTGAGTATGTAGCAGTGCTGAGTATGTAGCAGTGTTGAGTGTGTAGCAGTGTTGAGTGTGTAGCTGTAATGAGTGTAGCTGTAATGAGTGTGTAGCAGTCAGTGTTGAGTACCTCAGAAGTCACCAGAAGAAATCAAACTAGGAATAAAGTCAAAAGAGAAAATGGCACAGAAGCAATTCTAAAATTACATACAAAGAGCAAATATATGGATTTGAATGGTTCAAAAATGCCTTGTGACACCATACAACAAAAAGCAAACACCAAAAGAGGAGCAGGAAAGAGAACAAAGGGTGGACCGAGAACAAAATAGAAAGACAACAAACTCTACAACAGCCTAGGGCCGAGGCGGCTAGAAAAACAAGAAACAGAACGGTATATTATCCTGACACAAAGATGATTTAAAACACAAACAATCTGCCAGACCTCAGCAGTACATTAACTATTCACTGACAGGTCAGCATGGGATGCTGAAATGATGCTTTAGTTTGCGAAACCAACCTGATATGTCAAAAAACAAAGTTGTTTAAACACAGTAATTCCTACTTAATACTTAAGCAATGTAGTGACAAACAAAATAAAGATATACAGATACAAAATCAAATTATATATTACACTGCTCTATGCTTGCAAAAACGTGGACTGTGTATCAGTGCCATGCTAAAAAGCTGAATCAGTTTCATAAAACTGTGCAAAATCAAATAACAAGAAAGGATCCGTATATACTGTGGTTCTTGATAGGGCAAACCTACCTACCTAGCATCAGCACGATACTGAAGAATTATCAGCTGCATTGGGCTGGTCACCTAGCCTGCATGCCAGAATATTACCTCCCAAAGAGAGTATTTTATGGTGAGCTCCAGCAAAGGAAGAGATCCCAAGGATGACAAAATATAAGGACACTCAAAAATTCTTTTGGCATCAACACAGCAACATAGGAGGCTGCTGCACAAGACTGTTCTGGATGACGTACATCCTTCAGGCATGGTGCATCACCCCGCCAGGCAGCAGAGGTTGCACAGGCAGAGAAACGGAGGCAGAGTAGAAAGAACTATCGCTAATCCCACTTACTGCATCTTCCATCTGCTGTCCACACTTCTGAAAAACTCTCCAGGCTCATACTGGACTAATCAGCCATCTGCGTACTCATAATCATTACTACTTGATGGACGAACAACATATACACTACCTTAACAGAAAAAAGGACTCAGGACAAATCGGTAATGAGAACAATCATCTAATTTCTGAAGGGAAAAGTTATTGTGACTTGTGTTTCTGTACTAATGGCAATGTTGAATAACTGACCAATGAAACAGTGAAGCAACTAGAGGCAATGTTGTGAGTTTTAATGGAATTTAGAGAATACCCTTAAGGAAAACTCTGTGAGAGGTATACAGACATTTGTCAGTGCTGCAAGATCATCCATCAAACTGATTTTTTAAAAACATACTTATGGGGTTTAAATCTAAAAGAATTATTACTATCCATCGACAGAACATAGGGCTTCAACCAATACTGTTAGTTAGCTTTCACACATTTTACCACAGACCAAGCCTACCCTTAGTCGTCCCGTATCAATTCCCGAGAGAGGTGCAATTTGCTTCCTGTAAAGGGTCTCGGTAACATGGGTGAACTAACAGAAAAGGTGGAACAAAGAAATTAGAACAGAGACCGTTAAATGGTTGGGAAGCAGACATATTGGAATGCTAAAATAGCAGGACAAAACACAATAATATAAGCAATATGAAATTTAAAAAATACCAAAAAAAAATCTCACAAGACCAACTGACCTATATGGCACTAAAATCTGGAGCACAACTAAAAGAAAAAAGCTTATTACAAACTTTTCAGAAGAATCTTTCGATGAATCTTTGGAATCCTCAGATATACTGACCATGGAGGACAGAGAGAGAAGGAATAACAACATTTATCATCTGTTTTAGTCACTACTAATTACTGGCATCACGACAGCTAAAAGACTTGGTGAAGAACAAACAATAAAAAAAAAGGCAAAGGGCTGAAAGGTCTTGAATGAATGTTTGCTTCAGTTAAGGCACCAGAAGAAAACCCCCATCGTTATCATTTACAACCAATATGACACAAATTAAAAAGTACTGCTGTTTATCTTACAAAGCAACAGGACTGACAAAAACATAAAACACTTTAAAAAAAGTACCACAAACACTTGCAAAATCCACGTTTTAAAAACTGCATCATACTTCACTGTGTACACTGTGTTCTATCTTTCTACTTCTTTCTATGAGTGCTGATCTATACACTTTCTGTTACTTGATTAATTCATAATATTTAACGGCCTCAAAGGTTCCCCCTCTGTTTATTCACTGTGTACCCCTGGTACAAAATGTATATCCAAAAACATAAAGTGACAGTGGCACCCAACAATGTAGAGAGCACGTGTCAGTTGTGACACCAGCTGTGATCCTGAAACCCCGGTACTTTGACGCTACTATAATTATATTCACTGATTATGACAACAGCCCACAGCAACCTCCAAATATATCAGGCGTGATTACAAAACCATGTAGAGATAAGAGAATTATGACATCAAGCTGCTTAATGCTGCTATCACTGAGCAAAGTCAAGACTGTTATCAGAGTGTTCTGATATGATCTGGCCTGAGAAGGGCTGCAACCAATCTGATGAAAAGCGGACTAGAGTTCACTAATACGGTTTACATTTGGTGTAATCATGCCACTAGCACTGTGAATGACATGTCTGATGTAAAACTATACTTCTAAATTATGCATGTGGCCTGGGTTTGTGTGATCCTGCTAGCACCGTGAATTATAAGTGTGATTTCCCTAGTGTGGCGTCCAGGGCCCCAATGTAGGAGGGAAAAGAAGAGACCCACTGAGTCTTAACAAGCATGTTGTAAAAAGCAACTAATTA